AAGGGAAACCCAAGAATCCTGGAGTGGGTAGCCTATCCCTTCTCCAGGGGATCTTCCCGACCCAGGAATTGAACCAGGGTCTCCTGCATTGCAGGCAGATTCCTTACCAACTGAGCTATGGGGACAGTAATGATCGTCCCCAGGTAACCCACGGTCAGCCAGCGTTCTTTCCAGGGGTCTGCAGCCCTCTCCCAGACTCCTGGCTGCACACTGATGCTGCTTTCATTCCTCTGGCTCCTGGGAACCATCCGCTGAGAGGCCTCGTTCACGACTCTCCCAACAGCGGAGCAGAGGTCCAGACACCAAGGAGCACCCAGAGAGTATAAAGAATAACGGGCGCCTAGGGGAAGCACCTTGAGCAGCGTTAAAACAAGTGACTCCTGGTGACTAGATTTTCTTTCAGTTCTCTTGCCCTCATGCTCTCCGTTTCATAAGAGACTGCCTTTCCAGTTCCAAGTGTGCTAGGTGAAAAGGGCATCAGAAAGCAATAGAGAAAATTAGGACAAATGGGGGTGTGGGAAGAGCTTCCTGACGACTTCCTCAGGGCTTCCTTCCTCCCGATTATTACTACGTTCTCCGCCCCTCCCTGCCCCCGGCTTAGGTGGCCTTTGCTGCAGTGATCAGATACAATTCCATCGCCAAATGCAAAATGTCTTGCTCGCTGGGCTTCCTTTTACATTCCTAATTTATTTATTTTGATCGGTACTGTTCATTTATCGTACTCAGAGGCCCCAACAAACACTAAAGGCTGGCTGTGAACACTTGGATACATATTTTTTTCATCTGTTATTTTGAGACAAAGAAAATAATCAGTTTTTTGACTAGTTACTACATAATTTCAAAACTTAAGCAGTCCCTTTACACATTTTTTTTTTGCTAAAATTGCTATTTTCTGTTAGAATTTAAAATGTTAGAATTATATTAAAAGGTATTTAAAATTTTAAATCTCCCAGATAATGCCTTAAATGTTATCCTTCCTTTTATTTTAAATAATTTATTTGTATGTTTATTTTTCATTATTATTCATTGCCGCCCGGGCTTTTCTTTACTTGCGGCAAGCGGGGGCTACTCTCTAGTTGTGTGTGGGCTTCTCATCACAGCGGCCCCTCTTGTTGGGGAGCGCGGGCTCTAGGCCCGCTCTAGGCCCGCAGCTCCCGCGCTCCGGAGCACAGGCCCAGTAATTGTGGTACACGGGCTTAGTTGCTCCAAGGTGTGGGATCCTCCTGGATCAGGGATGGAACCTGTGTCCCCCGCACTGGCAGGCAGATTCTTTACCAAGTCCTAATTTCATTTCTCTACCCGACTGAGTTGGAATATATTGATGTAGGGTCATTTGCTTTGCAATCAGGGTGAGGGATTATTTTGTTTCCAGTATCAACCCAGGCACCTCACATGTGCCTCCCACTCACAAAGACAAATTTGCTCCCATTCACAAAGTTCTCTTAGAGCAAACATCCGTATCCTGCCTCAGCTGGCGCCGCCTGACTTCTCTTCCCAGCCTCCTCCAGGAAGAAGGTCTGACTCCTTGTGCTCCGGGAAGCCTTCCATCCAACCTCCCCACAGAGCCCGGCGAGGGTGGCCCTTCTCCCACTGCCAAGCTTTATCAGATTGAGCTCCTGGAGGGCAGGCCCGGCAGGCGGTGGTCCTCTGATGAAAATGTATTTTGGATCTAAAATGGCTGTTTGTAACCTATGAACCTCTTTCCTCCACGGTTCTCTGTGAGCCTTCCAAGGCGGTGTTTCAAATTCAGATTTTCCACTGTATTCTGTGTGGTCACACTCTGAATGTTTCCAGTGCTAACATGCAGGGTGACAGTTTGAGGACCGTGGGCTTTTAATTAGCACACAGATCAGTCCCAAACAACTGCTGCCACCAGGGGAGGCTGCAGCTGGCCTGTGCCTCTCCCACCCTGGACGGCTAGGGAGAGGCACCGTGACCCACTCTGGAAAGACTTCGACCTTGCGTGACCAACTGTCACAGCACGCACTCTTGTGCAGCATTCACAGTGCTTTCTTGTATATGAGAGAGGGGGGCAGACGCAGTGTGGAGCAGGACTTGGAGTGAGGGTGCCTGGTTGCGAATTGTGTTTCAGTCACAAGCCCAGCTACTTTGGAAAGGTCATCCCTCATAGCCTCTGTCTTTTCATTTGTAAAATGGGCATAATAATACCTACCCTGCCTATCTTGTAGGCTCCTTATTAGATTTTTAAGAGATGCTTCCTAACCTTTCCAGCTTCAAAGAAAAGGAGAACTTTTTGCTCAGCACTGTGGGGGTAAATGCTAAGGTTGTAAAGCTGGAGATGACGGCTCCTGGACTCTGCCTGACTGTCCCCTCCCCAACGGCTGCAAGGATGCATCTTTACACATCTGTACACCAGTTGGGGAGCTCTGCTGTGTCCAAACAGTTAACAAACCTTAGCCGTATACCCATATGCTCACATTCCTATACATTCTCTGGTCACATAAATATAAAACCTCCTAGGACTTCCCTGGTGGTGTGGTTAAGAATCCACCTGCTGATGCAGGGGACACGGGTTTGATCCCTGGTCCAGGACGATTCCACATGCTGCCAGGCAACTAAGCCCGTGCACCACAAGAGAAGCCACTGCAATGAGAAGCCTGTGTACCATCCACTAGAGAGCATAGCCTCCACTTTCTGCAACTAGAGAAAGCTCATGTGCAGCAAGGAAAGCTCAGCTCAGCTCAGCCAAAAACCAAAAAAAAACCCCTCCCTGTGGGGTGGGAGGAACCAGGTTCAGATGTGTCAAGTGCTGAACCTAGGCCCATGGCCATCAAGAGGCAAAAATGAACAAGCTCCCAAGCTCCTGTCACCTCAGGTAGAATCTGTCTCAACACTGCACTTTCAATCATAACCTCATCCTCAGTCATTAAGTTACCTTGGGAAAACACACCCAACCAATCACCAAAGTGGTAATCCAGAGAAATGGAACATTTTGTTGCCTTCATTTTACAGCCAGACCCCTCAAAGTGCTGGCGAAGTTCATGTCAACGAGAACTGATGATGTCACGCTTGCCTGTGTCTGCATCTGTATCCAAATCTACGTCTGTCTGCTGTTCTGACCGCAAAAATCGTTAGACCCAAGAATGGACTTCCACACATGTCAGTAAGGGCTGTAACAGCCCCTGGGTTAGATGGTGCTAGTGGTGAAGAATCTGCCTGCCAATTCAGGAGGTGTTAAGAGGTGCAGGTTCGATCCCTGGGTTGGGAAGATCCACTGGAATAGGAAATGGTACCCCACTTCAGTATTCTTGCCTGGAAAATTCCATGGGCAGAGGAGCCTGGTGGGCTCTAGTCCAGGGTCGAAAAGAGTCGGACATGACTGATTGAGCATGCACATGGGGTTATAAATTAATCTTTGTGAGATGCTTAAAATAGTCCTAGGCAGACACTATAAGCCAAACACTCTGTTAGTATTTATTATTATGATAATTCAAAACAAACCATATCAATCAGTTAGAGAGAGAGGATCAAAAAATAATGACTCTGCTCTGGAGACTTCTTTTGCAGCTAAAGAAACATCATCAGATCCTTGTACTCAAATAGCAGCAGCAGCATCTGGGAGCTTTTAGAAATCTAAAGTGTCACATCTCCGACATTACCATCTGCATTTTAATAAGACCCCCAGGTGACTTGTGAGCACAGGCATGTTTGAGAAGTGCTGCACTGGAGAACTCCAGGGCTCGGGCAGAGACCCTTGGGTCACTGGTATTTTTGGTTAGAAAATGGTGCAAAAGCAGCACTGACTCAGAAAATCTGCTCTGTCTTATTGATGGATTTAGTCCTAATCTGGATCAGACAATGTAGGTTGCAGGGTGGGGGGTGGCGACCAAGTGCAATCCCACCCCCCACCCCCATGGAAGGCAGTCCCATCTGAATCAAATGAAATGCTTTGTGCAAGGGACCGTGAGAACACATGTCAGCACAGATACATCAGAGGCCCTCGTGGAACAAGGCTGAGATCCTGGAACTGTTCTGGCATGTTTGAGGGGGAGGAACAGACACAAACACACTTGAAACAGGAGGCAACATCATTAGGAAAGTTGTGATTTGAGAAAGGGAGCTTTAGGAGTAAATTCAGGGAAGGGAGGGAGTTACTTACATTAACCCAGGGATGTTCAAGGACCTGCACGGCCGAAAACCGCTGATCGACATCCACCAACAGCATCATAGTGATGAGCTCCTGTCAATAGAAACATCTGATGTTGTTTGTGTCTAACACTGAAAGTAAAAACTGGCGTTTTCAAATGCAGAGGTTCTCTTTTATCTTGGAAAAGCATTTGTAAAAGCTCTAACCTTAAATACATCAACTCAACTTACCTTTTAAAGGAAAGGTGAATATTTGGAATTAAAAATATACACCTTGTAGTTGAGGGAAAAACATATGCAGCTAAAGAAACATCATCAGATCCTTGTACTCAAATAGCAGCAGCAGCATCTGGGAGCTTTTAGAAATCTAAAGTGTCACATCTCCGACATTACCATCTGCATTTTAATAAGACCCCCAGGTGACTTGTGAGCACAGGCATGTTTGAGAAGTGCTGCACTGGAGAACTCCAGGGCTCGGGCAGAGACCCTTGGGTCACTGGTATTTGTGGTTAGAAAATGGTGCAAAAGCAGCACTGACTCAGAAAATCTGCTCTGTCTTATTGATGGATTTAGTCCTAATCTGGATCAGACAATGTAGGTTGCAGGGTGGGGGGTGGCGACCAAGTGCAATCCCACCCCCCACCCCCATGGAAGGCAGTCCCATCTGAATCAAATGAAATGCTTTGTGCAAGGGACCGTGAGAACACATGTCAGCACAGATACATCAGAGGCCCTCGTGGAACAAGGCTGAGATCCTGGAACTGTTCTGGCATGTTTGAGGGGGAGGAACAGACACAAACACACTTGAAACAGGAGGCAACATCATTAGGAAAGTTGTGATTTGAGAAAGGGAGCTTTAGGAGTAAATTCAGGGAAGGGAGGGAGTTACTTACATTAACCCAGGGATGTTCAAGGACCTGCACGGCCGAAAACCGCTGATCGACATCCACCAACAGCATCATAGTGATGAGCTCCTGTCAATAGAAACATCTGATGTTGTTTGTGTCTAACACTGAAAGTAAAAACTGGCGTTTTCAAATGCAGAGGTTCTCTTTTATCTTGGAAAAGCATTTGTAAAAGCTCTAACCTTAAATACATCAACTCAACTTACCTTTTAAAGGAAAGGTGAATATTTGGAATTAAAAATATACACCTTGTAGTTGAGGGAAAAACATAAAGTGAAAGATTTAAAATCAATTTCATAAAAATGCTTTTAGTAGAAGGAAATAAAGTACACAGGTGAAAGAATTAATATTCCTTTCTTTGTCTAGCATTCTGCACTTTAAAGACAGAGTCCTAAATTACTTTAACATAGAAATCACATTTTTAAAACCCCTTAACAAAATTTTCACTTTGCCAGCTGAAAGAAAAAATGGATTTTTTTCCCCTCCTAACTGCAAGAGCATATTTGGGTTTGAAAGAAAGGAATGAGGAAAGACATATGGAATTGCCAACAGCTAGTTGGTAAAATAGAAACTGTTCTTTAGCAGCCAAAGAATTCAGAGGAAATATGTTAAAAATGATTCACAAATTTCCAGAACAATCAATAAAAGTAAAATAGAACCATTAAGAAACAAATTATTAAATGGTTCTGAAATGAATGCATCTCTGCTATGAGCTCAAATTTATTTGCCCCAGAAGAACACAGCTTGGGGTTTACTGATGAAGTCTGTCAGACGTTTGTCTCCTCTGGATTAGAAATTCCCATGTAACAAAATGGCTAGATAACGTATTACCTGGTCCCTCACCTGCACAGGCTCTAAGCACCGCTCCACAGCGGGAATCATTTATTCCCAAAGATGTACAGATTTGACCTGTACTAACTTGGGCCAGGACTTAACTAACGCGACTGCTGTGTGTGTGACGCTCCTTGCAGGGTGCTGAGGGGTTGCAGGAGATGCCCTCTGCCCTCCAGGTGTGGAGGGCCGGCACTGGGCCTTGGGCACGTTCCTAAAGAACCTGCTCACAGGTGAAAACTTCTCCACCCCCACCTCTGCAGCCGTTATCACCCCATCTCCTTTCACCTCTGTGGTTCTTCTTGGACACTTCTCTCAACTCCACACATTTTCCTATGTCCAGAGGTAGATTCCTGGATAGTTGAAGAAAATGAGAGATTTGGGCCCGGTGTGCACCATTTTCTATGGAAAGTGGTCAGGCCTAAAGAGTCAGATTTAAAATTGAACTTATACTCAGGATACAGTCAAAGAAGAAAAACAGATACACTGAATAATCAGAAGATAATTAGTTGCCAACATCAGTTTTGCAAAAATTTAAGTCAATGCTTGGAAACATAAACTTAAGGAGTCAACTAAAAAGTTTTCTTTTTTTTATTTTTTTTTCCATTTATTTTTATTAGTTGGAGGCTAATTACTTTACAATATTGTAGTGGTTTTTACCATACATTGACATGAATAAAAATATGGAACGCTTCATGAATTTGCGTGTCATCCTTGTGCAGGGGCCATGCTAATCTTCTCTGTATCGTTCCAATTTTAGTATATGTGCTGCCGAAGCGAGCACAGGTTTTCTTTTTTTAATCTCAGGGTCTACTAATGTCTCTGTGTAAGATTTTCATAGTTTTCTTAGAGGCTGCTCTTTTAATGACAAAAACAATATGCTTTGTCCTGCGCTGCCTCTAAATCCTGGCTGTCTTCCAAGGTCCAAGTTACACCATAGCTTCCCCACCGTGTCTTTCTTGGTCATTTTAACTCATGTTGAGCATCTTCACTTTGACTGCCTGACAGATCATTTAATTCACTCATTCTTTTATCCATTCATTCAGTATACATTGAGTATCAGTTATGTCACTATTTAGGCACTGAGGTATAGTAATGAATACAATAGACAAAAATCCTTGTCTTGATGGAATTTATATTCCAGTGAGGAGAGTTAGAATATGAACTCCATAAATGGGATATATCCACAATTCTATATCTAGGTAGTGAAAGTGAAAGTCACTCAGCTGTTTCTGACTCCTTGCGACCCCATGGACTATACAGTCCATGGAATTCTCCAGGCCAGAATACTGGAATGAGTAGCCTTTCCATTCTCCGGGGGAATCTTCCCAGCCCAGGGATCAAACCCAGGTCTCCTGCATTACAGGTGGATTCTCTACCAGCTGAGCCACAGGGGAAGCCCAAGAATACTGGAGTGGGTAGATATCTAGGTAGGCAGACAGACAGACAGGTAGTTAGATGGTAGACCAGATGGATGTAACAGTGGAAGTGTTACAGAGGAATATGAAGCAAACGACAATAACGTCAGCCAGGTAGGGGTTCAGAGCTGCAAATGGAAACAAGATGTTCTGGGAAAGCTTCACTGAGAAGATGACATCAAGCCAAGATTTGAAAGAGGTGAAACAATAACCTATATGGAAATCTGAGCTGGGCCCAAGCCTGGTGCGGGCGGAGCATAGCTAAAGGCTACAGCAGCGTAACTGCAGCGACCACAGTGAGTGACGAGCCAGGGAAGCAGAGGCACCGGACGAGGCGGGTGACTTGAAGACTGTGAACGCCTGGGAGGGCTAGTAATTACGACTAAAATGCATACAGAAAGCATATTTACCATATCATTTGTTTCTTTGCACAGGATGATTCAGAATCAATAACTCCACAGAGACACAGGCTATAAGAAGTGGAAGGCACTGGAAGCCGAAACCCACCTTTGCAGAATCGGAAACGTTATCCCAGTATGGAGAAGGGAAGTCCACTTGCCCCATCAAAATCTGATCAAAAAGTACCTCCTGGTCGTCACCGCTTCTGTTTAGACACAAGACAATAACAAGGAATAAACACAGTAAAATGCCAACTCACGGTATGTCTTTTCATCCTTGTGCATTGGAGGCCTTCCTTCCCCCGTAATGTGTAAAACGTGTGTTTTTAAGCAATTCAAAATGTCAGTATGGAACTGTTTTGGCAAATTAGGAAAGAATGAGTTTTCAGATTATGTGAGAAAGATTTATGGAAGGCATGTAAACTAGCATGCACAACATGGAAAAAATAACAAGTCCTTATTAAGCAAAAGGTAGTAAAGTTATGTTCTTTAACACAGCATTCCATTCTTTTCCTGCTACAGGCTCCTTTATGCACGGAGGCTGAATGGATCATTCAGGGAATGGACAAATGCTTTGTGAGTGCTGAATAAAGGATCACTGCCCATACCCACGGAATGGAGGGAAACCACACAGCAGGATGTAAGTAATGACACCAGCCGCCCAGATGTCCACTTTGAGGCCATATCTGAAAAGGTAAGTGACATCGCCATTAGCAAAGTCGGGCCAGGACAAATTACGGAGCATGGTCAGATGGATGATTCTGCTATCATAAACCAAACACCAAACCAAGCAAAAATTTTAAAAAAATGCACAACTAACACTAAACTACAACCCACTGGCTAAACAAAATTCAAGAAAAGAGTAATAATTAAAAAAGAGACAATTTAAGGCACATGATTAAAAATCAAAGTAACGCCAGGGTCATATCTAAATATCAGTAAGTGAACAGTTTCAGTAACAATGTTTATTATAGTCATATCAAGTTTGTTTTCTTTAATTATTATTTTTTATGAAGAGTATAATTGCTTTACAATGTTGCCTTGGTCTCTGCTATACAATGAAGTGAGTTGGTTGTGTGTATACATGTATTCCCTCTCTTGGACCTCTCTCGCACCTTGCCTCCATCCCACATCTGGGTCATCGCAGAGCACTGATCCGAGCTCCCTGCGCTATACAGCAGCTCCCCACTAGCTACCTGTTTTACACATGGTGTAAATTACCTGTTTTACACATAGTGTATACATTAATATGTCAATTCAAATCTCCCATTTCATCTCCCCCTCCCCTTCTCCCCTTGGGTCTGTAAATCCATTCTCTATGTCTAGTTATATCAGATTTAAGACAAAGACCCTTGAGGAGACAATTTAGCTCCCAAATTTTAGAAACAATAATTACACATAAGACATTCTCTAATCTATAAAGCACTGGCATACATTATCTGATTTTGTTTTCCCAACAACTCTGTAACTTGTACAGGACAAGTATTATTGCCTGTTTTATAAGAAAGAAAACCTAAGTTCAGAGGGTAAATAATTTGGCTCAAGATCACACAATCAGTGGCACAGCTGAGTTCCAACTGACGTCTTCAGGACCCAACCAAGTTCTTCTGCCCCACAGCACTCCTCCCCAGCAGGCCATCAGAGCACCCACCGGAGCATCGCCTGAGGTGGTACCTCGGAGGACGTCAGGCGTGGCCACAGATGTGGCTCCCAATCAAATCTGATGAATATGAAAGTCCTCATTACCCTGCGTTGGGGATTTCTCTTCTCATCTGTCCTGTATTTCTGCCTTTCCAGTCTATGCATCCATAGTACAAGGAGAAAAACCACCTCCAGCCGTCACAGGGGAAGATACTATCTGGAGTGCTAGGTGGGGGTTGGCGCCACTCACAGGAAGAAACGGCAGGGCTGTCTCTTCTTGCTCTCCCACCCTTCCCCCATCCTTCTGTTTAAGGACAGTGTTCAGAACCCTGCCAGTAATCCTTGGCAAGAAATGGGGCTTACTGAAAGAGCCATTTGCCCACCTAGACCTGGAGTTCAAATGCTGACTCAGCTACTGTCATGAGCTTATATCAGTCATCAGAGACTGAGTTTCTCTACATGCAAAATGGGGATTATATCATCTACCGGAAGAGTAAGAATTAAATAAAGGAGTTTAGCACCTGGCATATGGTACTAGGTCGTTAGTAAGCTTAGGCCTACAATCTCCCCTGATTCTAGAGATTTTCTTTCATCTGTGTTGGCTGCGCTAAGAAACAAGCCAACTCCCAGTGGCCCTCTGACGCCTGGGGGTGTCTGCACTGCACAGATGGTCATGAGCTGCTAAGTGGACCAAAGTGGGACTGGAACTAGAGAATAAGGAGAGCTTAGGAGAAGGAACCACAGGAACCACAGAAGTAACTCACCCCACACAGCAACGTCTGCTGCTCTTATCTCCCAAAGCGAGTTAATTACCATCACTCTGTTTNTTCTAGAGATTTTCTTTCATCTGTGTTGGCTGCGCTAAGAAACAAGCCAACTCCCAGTGGCCCTCTGACGCCTGGGGGTGTCTGCACTGCACAGATGGTCATGAGCTGCTAAGTGGACCAAAGTGGGACTGGAACTAGAGAATAAGGAGAGCTTAGGAGAAGGAACCACAGGAACCACAGAAGTAACTCACCCCACACAGCAACGTCTGCTGCTCTTATCTCCCAAAGCGAGTTAATTACCATCACTCTGTTTCTCTGTTAATTTGAATATTTTTTACTAAGGGGTTAATAATGGCTGTTCTACCTTTAACAAAGGTCAAAAGGAAGGCTTATGCAAGACTGCAGTAATTGGCAACTTGATTGGGGAAACAGAAAAAATGGCTTCAACTTCTCAAGCTAAAAAAAAAAAAAAGTGAAAAATAGCTGACAGCTAGTTCTGTCTGGATGGAACAGAGAACTATTTCATTTATTCTCACAGCAGACTATGTTGCAAGCACATCACTGAAATAAACACATGAAAAGCATTTACCCAGTCTCTGCAATGATTTCGGGAGCTACGTATGTTGGGGTACCGCACACGGTGTACAGGGGGCCATCTACAATGGTAGCCAGTCCAAAGTCACCCAGCTTCAGAGATTTGCTGCCATCTTGGTGTTCATACACCTAAAATAAAAATTAAAAGTGAAACTGCCTTAAAAAAAAAAAATAAGGACATTGTGGTGTAAATATATGTTGACCTAAAACAAACAGACTGCCAGATATTTCTAGAGCAAACATGGATTTATTCAGGATCAGCAGAGAATTGCAATTTGAAGTCTGTACCCACGGCAAGTTACCTCCAAGTCCCCACATGGCAAGGAAAGGAAATACATTTACAGAGAGGAACAGGAAGTGGGAGGACTATAGAAACAAAGAGTTCTGGCTTTTCATTGGCTGAGTCCCTGCCAGGAAAGAAGAGGAGTCTCTCTTCTTCCTGTTGGGCTCAGTTATGGTCACAGGACATGAGAGCGCCCCCTTCTGGTCCGCTGACTGTTAATAACTCCGATTTCAGTTTATCAATTTTTAAAATTTATTTTTCATAAAATAAAAACTCAGGCAACTATGCAGGGGTATACATACAAGAACATCTTTATATTACTGCAGAATTAAGAACATGGCAAACACCCAGGAAATGAAAGTTCATTAAATTACAGTACGTTCATACAATGGGAGGCTACAGGACAGTTAGAATGGTGATGTGAGTTTACCATTTATTGAAATGAGTTAGATTTGGGAAGTGAGGACAGACTTCTGACTGGTTGCATATAATGTCTATTAAAGAAAAAACATGTACTAAGAAAAATGTCTGGAAGGACACTATATTGGTGTGTCTGTCTCTGAGTGGTAAGATTATAGGAGATTTTTTTTTTTCTTTTGATTATCTGTCTTTGACGTTTGCTGCAATTCAAATTGATCTGCAGAACACAATGAAATACAGAAATATAGATTTTGTGCTAAAAAACAAAAAAGTATAGATTTTGTGTTTAGTGCAAAATATTCAGTTTATGAAAATAATTATGTCTTCATTTTAATGTATCAGAAGCTTTAAAGATGCAGTTCTTTAGTAAATGGAACAAAAAAATCTACACATCTATTAAAACACTTTATTTTCAGTGCCCTATATTTCCAATAAGATCTATTTATATTTTTTATTAATAATTGAAAGGGGCATTAACATTTCATTTTACCTGTGGCAATTTGGAAAGATTTATCAGGTGCAGAGTAAGCATTCTGTCCAGTTTTCCTTATTAAGGCAGTAATAAGTCTTTCACCTTATTATAGTCTTTTTCTAATCTTTCACCCAACAAATCAAGAAAAGGATGCATGTGACCTCAGGCAAGTATTTACACTGCTTTAATTCTAGCCCACAATCAAACAAAATGGATCTGTTCTAAACAGTATCCCAAACAACATCTGTTATTTTAAAGAAAGTATCAAAGGGCTTTCAGAATTCTAATTCAGAGCTCTCCACTGGAATCAATAAGATACAGAAAAGAGAGCCACAGTAAAAGGCTAGTATTCCCAGTGAAGGCAGTCGCCAGGAGATGCCTCAAGGAAACGGTGAAGTTCTCCAGGTACATCAAAATAATTCTTCCAGCCCATCGAGGCCTGCATGTGGCCCTGTTATTGCTCTATGATCATCTGTACTTGCTAGAGCAGTCTGAACCTGGCGCACAGCAAGGCGCATCTCCACACATCAGGAGCATGGCTACCGTTCACACACCGCATCTGCCCTCCTTTGGAAAAAGTAGATTCACTTCTCATTTCACTGCAGCATCAAGTGCAGATGTTTGGCCAGCTAAGCTGCAGTATCAGCAATGATCATTTGGATCTGTTTTGGCAGAAAAAAAGGCAGCCAGAGCCTCCTCTCTGGAGAGACTGTCTTTTCTGGGCAGAAAATGTTTGTTCACATTTTCTCCATACTTGGAACACAGAGTCCTCTCCCTGAGGGCTCAGCCACAATCAAGCGTGGGCTGCCCTTAGGCAGGTATCCAGAGGCTTGGGGGGCCACCTGCACTTGGGCTGTTAGGGCAAGGAGAGCTGTATGTTCCCCAAGGATGTGGCTTTGCCCAGTGGTCCTCTGAGATGGACACTGTCGTCCCTACTTTAATGAAGCAGCCGTCCAGCCCTGGTCGGCATCAGCAAGTTTGAATCACGGACTCTGAGGTATCAGAGATGCAAAACATAATATCCTCCCTGACTTAAACGCGCTCAGGCAAAAGAAATCCCTAAATTGCAGTCTTAGCATGTCAGCCATTCAGGTCGTCGAAATGACAAGCAAATGTTTTTCATGAAAAGAAATCTGAGCTGGAAACACCTAGTAGATCATCTAGTTTAATTCCCAGACAGAGCAGAACTGTTTACTTCCCTAATTCCATTTTGTTACCAACAATCTCTTCGAAATGCAAAATAACCTCTTGCTTTGATGTTCTGTTAGGTCCAAACATTCATGGTGCCTGTTTTGTGAGGTTGTGCAGATTTCAAATTACACAACTCCATTTACACAGAGATGTTGTGGCTTGTTTCTAAACATACTACCCATAATCACCCAACTCTATTCAAAAGTTGGACAAAGGCAGAGGTTGGCAGATTCAGTCATAAGTAACAGTTTAGTTCTGAATATGACCATGTAATTCTCCTCCATGTACCAAAGGGTTTTTTAAGCATCTACATTTTAATAGGAATTCCATCTTACATATAGCCATATGCCAATTATACTTAATATAGCTAAGCAGTAAAGTTCAAAGCTTCAACAACTAAGAAAAACCACTAAAGACTTACCTAAAATAAAGAAAATGAAGATTATTTAATGATAAAAATAAAAGTAAACCAGCATCGTTTAAATGAAATACATAGAATCTATCATTTTAATGTTTTCATCTCTCTTTAATCATTATTATGCTGCTCTCTCTCTTTTTTTAACTTTGAAAACCATATAGCAGAATTTTCATGAACATATAAAGAGATTAAAGTGATGTTTAGGAGAGGCAATAAGAGCTAAGAGACAAAGGCCTAATCCACGTAACTGAAAACATTTCTAGACCCAAGTACATTTGAAATGCTTCAGCAAAATGCTTTTGCAGGTGAATAAATGTCCAGGCCTCTCGTTTGGAATTCTGTTTAACTTACTTACCATCAGGCAGGGCAGGAAACAAGGTTGCTTTGGGTTTTTCTCTGTCAACACTTGGGGAGAAGGATATAGAAGAATATATTGTCGTGTTTCCCTTCCTCCCGTGGGAGAGCGACTTCCCTAAGTGCTATTGGATTGGCAAAAAAAATTGTGTTTTTCTGTTAAGAGCAGCAGCAAACCCGAACGAACTTTTTGGCCAGCCCGTCACAAGGGGCCTCTCACAACTGGGCTCCCGAGGGCTCCTGCAGCCAGCTGAGCTGTACCCTCCTCGCCTCTCCCCCAGCCGCTTACAGCAGGGCAGGAACGAGGCCCTTTGAAAACGCAGTCAAAACTTTTGTTAAAAATCACAGATTGTGAAATGCATGTGTTTCAAATGTGTGTGTGTGTGAACGCACACACAATCTTTACAAAACCATCTCCAGAAAGTATTTTACCAAATGGCAGCTATAGATTCACTTTGAACTAAGTTTTTAATTAAATGTTAGGAGTCGGAAAAGCTTCTAACATGTTCACATTGAAAACGTGGCGTCCATGGCGTCTCCCACTCTCGGAATCGACTTACTTAGCTTGTCTCCTCATCCTGATCTTCTTTCAGAAAGAACCTTAACAGCCTGCAAGTATAAGTTTGGGCAGCCTGACCCAGCAAGTGGGGTTCTGGTTTAAGAACTTCTTGCTGTAACTGTATTTTAAAGTCTCCATAAAACATGCCCCACACATGAGGTGGGGGTACATTAATTGTCAATCAAAGAGTATTCACAACATGAGATATAATTTAATGTTCACCCAGGCCCTTTAAATACTATAGATGTTCCCCCACATTTTAAACACCGAGGGGCTATTAAAGAGATGGGGATTAGTGCAAATTACCCAGTATGTAGTGCTTTCACTGTTTTAACTAAGCAATAAAACTGTGTAACTGCAACACACTAATTGAATGCGGCTACACGTAATTGTGGGCTGCCATATGTATCCTATTACCAGAAAGACTGTCAGTATTTTGTAAGCTACGCCTGTGATCATTGCAGATGGCTACAGTCAGAAAAGTTGTTCTCCAGGGTTTATTATATGGCTATAAAGACATCCCATGATTTGACAGACTAAATGTGTTAAATGGCAACAATTATGAAAAAGGTTCCAATTAAAAGCTGAAGGCACGTCCTACCAAGAACAGACCGAGTGAAAGGTCAGGTACGTAGGTTTTTGGTATTCTGCTATTTTACACAGGATTTTCTTTTTTAAGGGAGAGTTTCATTTTTGTTTCTTTTTCATTTATTTGGGGCTTCGCAGTAGCTGTAACTTGCTGAACAGTAGATTTGGGGCATACGCCTGATCTCCCCTGGATGAGAAATTGAGACCATTTGAAAAAGTTATTTGAAAAACTAAACGATTTAATACAGAGTCATAAAATGCAGCCGGTGGCCATAAAATAATATGAAAATTCACAGATAACCTGAACCCAGTCAAATGGTTTCTGAGATTCCCATAACAGAGAAATAAAAGCTGACTAATATAACAGATGTGTTGGAACAAACATGATTTTCAATGATAATATGAATTCAAGGATAACCCTGTTGAAATATTGGCTAATGAATTGCCAGGAACCACTGAAATTTCTACACAGAGGAGCTCAATAGGTACTAAAAATTACTTCACCAGATAGAATTTAACAAAACTGGCATGAAATTGACAAAGCCGTGACAAAAAAGTGAATTTACTTTTTAACAAATATGGTATCCTTTAAAAAAGACATTGATTTTTCTTCTAGCCATGGAATATGGCCTTTATGACACTTTCTAAAAACAGTGGATTAAATTTAAACCTTTAAGAAGTGAAGTATAACAACATTTATGTAGGGAATTACTTAGCAAAATGTGTTTTATGCTCCACATAGTTTAGAATTAAGCCTCCTAAAAAAAACTAAATTCTTAAAAAAAAATTCATTTTATACCCACATGTAAAATCTTTATGAAACAAAAATTACGTGAAATAATAA